GAGGAATTTTAGAGACGGTTCTGTCATCTCCAGAACAGATCTTGTTCCTCCACGCAGAAGTTCAGGAACTTCTGGTAAAAAAAATGGAATTTCCAGGGTTCCAGACGGAGAGGAAAATACAAGGTTTTACTCTCGTTACTTCCTGGTCCCAAAACGGACCGGAGGGATGAGACCCATCTTGGATTTGTCAACTTTCAACAAGTCGATCATGGAGAGACATTTTCACATGTTGACAACCAGACAACTGTTAGACAACATTCAGCAAAAAGACTGGTTTACCTCTATCGATCTGAAAGACGCCTACTTCCACATTCCGATCATTCCAAAGCACAGAAAGTTCCTGTGCTTCTCCTTTCAAGGGACCCAGTATCAATACAACAGACTTCCGTTTGGATATTCCCTCGCGCCACGCACGTTTTCAAAATGCGTGGAGTCGGCTCTGCAGCCGCTACACAGAGCAAGGATGAGAATTCTGTTTTATCTGGACGATCTGTTGTTGCTGACCCGTTCCAGACAGGAGCAGCAGTGCAAACTCAGGCGCTGATGTCACACCTGCAAAATCTGGGTTTCACCATAAAATGGGAGAAGAGCTCAGTTCTCCCGGCCCAGACGATTGTTTATCTGGGAGTGGAGCTAAACTCGGTCACTATGAGGGCTCGATTATCTCAGACGAGAACCGAAGCTCTAAAGGACCAGCTCCGCCTCATGAAGCCTGGCAGAGTGGTAACAGCTTTTTCTGTCATGAAGTTATTAGGGACGATGTCGTCAGCTCACACAGTGACCCCGTTGGGATTACTCCACATGCGACGTCTCCAGAGGTGATTCGCTCGTTTGCGTGTGGATCCGGTGAGGCAGAAGAGACGGTTGATCGCTGTGCCCACCTCCGTGAGAATTGACCTGAGACACTGGGGAAACCCTCTTTTTCTGTCAGAGAGAGTCCCTGTCAGCAGACCTATGTCACACGTCTCAGTTTTCACAGACGTGTCCCTGTCTGTCTCGAGCTGTGGGGGCGCTGTGGCTACCCCAGACAGCAGCTCATATAAATGTTTTGGAATGTTGCACGGTTTTGAATGTGATTCAACATTTTGCTTCTGTGCTGCGGAATCAAAATGTTCTGATTCACACAGACAACAAAGTGACTGCAGCATACATAAACCGGCAGAGGGGTGTGCGTTCAGCCCAAATGTTACACATTGTGAGACGGCTGCTGTATTGGGCACACCAAAATCTGCTCTCCATCAGAGCAGTGTACATCCCCGGCGTTCTGAACAGAGGAGCGGATGTGATGTCCAGGGGTGATCTGCGTCACGGGGACTGGAGCCTCCATCCCGAGCTGATGGTTCAGACGTAGCAGAAATTTGGCAGAGCGGCCGTGGACCTGTTTGCCACATGAGAGAACGCTCATTGTCAACTATGGTTCTCACTGAGCCTGCGGGACAAACTACCGCTAGGGGTGGACGCGTTTGCTCACAGCCTGTAGCCCAAAATGCTTCTTTACGCATTTTCCCCACTCCCTCTGATATCACGGTATCTGAACCGAGTTCGGGAGGAGGGACTGACAGCCCTCCTGGTGGCTCCCGAGCATGTGAACGCCCCGTGGTTCCCAATTCTACGACGCCTGTTATCGGGTCACCTGTGGAAACTGCCATGGAGGGAGGATGCTCTCCTCCAGGCGGGAGGAGCGATCAAGAGTTACCCAGAAATAGGCCAGCACCTGTGGGTCTGGCCGCTGAGCGGATCCGTTTAGAGAGGATGGATCTCTCTCAAGAGGTAGTGCACACTATCCAGGATTCACGTGCTGCCTCCACCACAGCGCTATACACATCAAAGTGGACAGCTTTTCAGCGCTGGTGTACGGAGAAAGGTGTAGAGGCCACCTCATGTCCACTAGGTGGCGTGCTGTCCTTTCTGCAGCAGCTGATGGACAGAAATCTGGCATTCAGCACGATTAAAACGTACGCTGCAGCCATCTCTTCCTGTTACAAAGGTTTCGGGGACAAAACAGCTTTTAATCATCCGCTGATGAAGCGTTTTTAAAGGTGTACAGAGGCGCAGGCCTGTATCACGCCCACTTTCTCCACAGTGGAATTTAACGCTGGTTCTGCGAGCCCTGATCAAAGCTCCATTCGAGCCACTAGATCAGGTTCTGATTAAATTCTTGTCTCTTAAAACAGCCCTGCTGTTGGCTTTAACAGCCGCTAAGAGGGTGAGTGATTTATCTGCCCATCTCTGTCGCTCCATCATGTCTCAGAATTCAGGCTGATGGCAGCTCAGCTGATCTGAGGCCTAACCCAGCATTTATGTCTAAAACATCACAAGCTCATTTAAATCAATAGCGATATCGTTGGAGGGATTTTTTCCCTCCTCCCCACAAATCAGAAGAAGAAGCATCTTTCCATCTTCTCTGCCCTGTGCGTGCATTGACGTGTTACGTAGCACGCACGGCGGCACTGCGTCAGACTCAATATTTGTTTGTGCACTATAGAGAGGCATCTGCAGGTCGCCCGTTATCCACCTAGCGCCTGTCACACTGGCTGTGTGAGGCCATTTCTGAAGCCTACAGAGCATCAGATTTAGAGCCTCCTGATAACCTCAGGGCGCACTCGACCAGAGGTATCGCATCTTCAACTGCTTTGCATAACGGTATGACAATGCAGGATATTTGCACTGCGGCCGCGTGGTCAACACCCTGTTCATTTATTCACTTTTATTTACGTGATGTGTCAGTTTGTTCCATGACACATTCTGTCCTTAGTGCCTTAACAGAATGAATATTGTTGTTTCATGGAATGTGGTTTAAACTCACATCTGACTGCATGCATTACAGTGTGAGATGTTATCAGTCACAAGTTATGACTCTTGTTCTTGTTCTATGGTCACTAATCAGTTCATGACTTCTGTCATCCATCAGTTCATTTGATTAATAATCAGTTCATTCATTATTAATCTGTTCATATTGAAAAGCCGTGGATCTGCTCTGTTCACGGCCTTTTTCAGCCTCTCCACTGTCCCGTTGAAAACTTTTCCGGGGCGTTCATGCATTCAGGACGCGTAAACTACGCAGTGCGCGTCTGTGCATGGTGTGCATAATTACGCAACGCGTATTTACGCACATGGAGAGCTGAGTGACAAGATGTTTTTTGGGCAAGCGGTCGCTTCATATGGTGTTCGAATGGACCCAGTGAGGCGGAGACCACATCTTGCTTCGCCTTTAACCCACCAGCGACAGCTCTTAAAGGGCGAAGCCTATACGAAATAGAACGTTGGTTACGTACTGTAACCCCAGATTCTATGAGTATGGGCGTAGCCCTTTAAGCGTCAGGCCTCACTGGCTCCTAAATGGCTGAAGAAAAAGCTATTTTTGGGAGCCGATTACCCGCTCTTAACGTAATTTGTTCGGACTGGGTGAGGCCCACACAACAGGTGGGCGTGGACTAAATTTTTCAGTGCGATGCTTTGCACGACGGGATAAACCCACCAGTGACAGCTCTTAAAGGGCTACGCCTATACTCATAGAATCTGGGGTTACAGTAAGTAACCAACGTTTATTTTCTAAACTCAATGTCCCAGTAGCTTTTAAACCCCAAAATACATTACGGCAAAGGCTGGTTCATCACAAAGATCCAGTCCCCTGGCACAAACAGAGTAATATTGTGTATGCTGTTCAGTGTCAGGAGGGCGATCAGTCTTACATCGGAGAAACTAAACAGCCACTGGCCAAAAGGATGGCCCAGAACAGAAGATCAACATCATCAGGCCAGGACTCTGCGGTCTACACTCATCTCCAGGCCAGCGGTCACTCTTTCAGGGATGAAGATGTTCACATCCTGGACAGAGAGGAACGATGGTTTGAGAGAGGAGTAAAGGAGGCCATCTTTGTGAAAAGAAACCGTCCATCATTAAACAGGGGTGGAGCCTCCAGGTTCAACTGTCCCCCTCTTACAATGCTGTGATTGCTAGTATCACTCAGCCCTCTGTGAATAGTAAACAGCCATCAGGTGCTAATGATCCATTGTTAGGCTGATGGTCCTTCTTGAGCATGTGAGCAGCTGGTTCTGGTTGTCAGCAGCAAAACTGGTTGATCCACTCTGAGAAGGTGCTATTTAAGAGACTGAGCTGAATACAGCACCTCAGACTGAGGAAGTCTCTCAGATGAAAGACGAAACGTTTCTACTTTTTTGTTTGTTTGTTGAATGTCCAGAGGACCTGATATAACTTTTTTTTTTTTTATCTTTGTAAAGTTCCGTTGTCGCTATACAAATCACATGACAAAGGTCTGTTTTGACTCCCCGGGGGGGGGGGGGGGGGGGGGGGTTGTCTCTTCTTCTAGTCTTCACACACTTTGTGCGCTGCATAGACAGATTGTAGAGACTGCTGCACTCAGGCTGACAGTTTATTATAAAGCGGGAGATAACTACTGTAAATATTTTGCTTGGGCAGTTGCCCTAACTGCGGAGCATAGAGGGAACATTACATAGGGCACTTTTTAAACTGGTTATTCGGAAATTCCCAAGCATTTTTTGTGGTTATACGTTGTATACTTGCATATCACGTAGACTAGAGCGCTGGTTAAAAGTATAAAACTTCAAATTCAAAACGTTGAAAAAGTGCATATTTGACAGCTATTACGGCTTTAAGTCGATGTGCTTCTTTATCTGCATTTAACTTAAATAAAAACATTTTTAAACATGTCTCCGTTCAGCTACTGTAGCTACTCAGCTACTGTCTAAATACGATTTTTATCGAACGCACAATTTGAATTAAGCCCCGCCCAGTTGTGACCTCATGTTGCACTTTAGGCTTTGAGAGAGGTCTTTTTACTTTCAAAAATGGGTTTTAGGCAATTTCCCAAGTATTGTCTTTAGTATTTTCGAGTTCCTGGTTGATTTTACTTTAGCCTTTTTTAGTGTTTTTTTTCTGAACCTCTGGTGCCCGTTCCCCACCCCCACCCCTCGGCGGGGTTAATGAGCCCGCCTCCCCGCTCTGTCCCCGGCAGCCTCCGCCTCTTTTTGCTGGTCTGTCATCCACACTGCTGTTGTTGCAGCCATTTTACTGTGGAGCGTCGACCCAGCTGCTACCGGAAGATGCCGAGACAGCGCCGTTGAAAGGTAAATACGCCTCTTTTGTCCTTAAAACGCTCCTTGTATTCGTGTCGGTAACGTTTCCCGGTCGGTTAACGTGCCGGTCGGCGGGGAGGCGAGCTGAGGCCCGGCTGGCCGGAGGGGGCCAGGGGCTGAGGCAGCCTCAGAAGCTGCTCAGACAGGGGAAGATCGCTTGAGAGTGTCGGGCGACCGGAGCTGGTACTTTACAAGTCCTTGTGAAAAACGTCTCTCGCCGACCAAAAGTTAAAACGAGCTTTCTCACGGCAGCTTCGTGAACAACGTGGATTAAATTTGGTTCCCGTTAAAGTGCGCAGAAAAGCAGCGTTAATAAATTCGACCACGTTAGCATAGGGGGCGCTCGTGAGCCGCTGAACGTGTGCGCACGCATCGTAGCCTGATCGCGTCTTAGCTAAGCTATATTTAGCTTAGCTGACTTTTTTCAGTGTGGTGGTTTCTTTGTTCTTCTAACCTATTAAACATGTTGGGGTTTTTTGTCTGGTTTGTCAAATGTCCTGAGGGCTTTGTAGGTTGAATTTCATATTAGTGGTGGCGCAGAGGGTAGAGAAGGTGAGCTTGTGATTGGAAGGTCGCTGGTTCAACTCCCCAGACTGACATCAAAATGGGACGTGCCCTGAACACCTCACCAGGGAGGCGTCCAGGAGGCATCTAACCAGAGGCCCGAGCCACGTCAACTGGCTCCTCTCGACATGGAGTAGCAGCGGCGCTACTCTGAGTCCCTCCCGGATGACTGAGCTTCTCACCCTATCTCTAAGGGAGAGCCCAGACACCCTGCCGAGAAAACTCATTTCGGCCACCTGTATCCGTGATCTCGTTCTTTCGGTCACAACCCAAAGCTCATGACCATAGATGAGGGTAGGAATGTAGATCGACCGGTAAATAGAGAGCTTCGCCTTTTGACTTTGCTCTCTCTTCACCACGACAGACCGATGCAGCCCCCGCTTCACTGCCGATTCTGCGCCTATCCGCCTATCGATCTCCCGCTCCATTTTTCCCTCATTCGTGAACAAGACCCCGAGATACTTAAACTCCTCCACTTGGGGCAGGACCTCCTCCCCGACTCGGAGCGGGCACTCTACCCTTTCCTGGCTCAAGACCATGGCCTCGGATTTGGAGGAACTGATCCTCGTCCTGGACGTGTCACACTTGGCTGCAAACCACTACAGCGAAAGCTGTAGATCACGACCTGATGAAGCCAATGGGACCACATCATCTTGATAAAACAGAGATGCAATCCTAAGGCCACCAAAACGGATCCCCTCAACACCTTGGCTGCGCCCAGAAATTCTGTCCATTAAAGTTATGAACAGAATTGGTGACAAAAGGCAACCTTGGCGGAGTCGAACTCTCACTGGGAACGAGCCCGACTTACTGCTGGCAATGCGGACCAAGCTCTGACACCGGTCGTACAGGGACCTAACAGCCCGTATCGAGGTGCCTGGTACCTCATACTCCCAGAGTACCCCCACAGGGCTCCTCGAGGGACGCGGTTGAACTCCTTCTCCAAGTCCACAAAGCGTAGACTGGTTGGGCAAACTCCCACGCACCCCCCTGGACCCTGCTGAGGGTGTAGAGCTGGTCCAGTCTTCTACGACCAGGACAAATAACCGCACTGTTCCTCCTGAATCTGAGGTTCGACTATCCGACGGACCCTCCTCTCCAGAACCCCGTAATAGACCTTACCAGGGAGGCTTAAGAGCGTGATCCCCCTGTAGTTGGAACCCATTCTACGATCTCCCTTTTTGAGTAGGGGGACCACCACCTCTCAGTCTGCCAATCCAGGGGAACTGCCCCCGATGTCCACGCAATAGTGCAGAGTCGTGTAAGCCAACACAACCCCACAACATCTAGAGTCCTAAGGAACACCGGGCAAATCTCATCCACCCCTGGGGCCCTGCCACCGAGGAGTTTTTTAACCACCTCTGTGACCTCAGCACCAGAGATTGGAGGGCCCGACCCAGAGATTGGAGAGCTTGACCCAAAGTCCCCAGGTTCCGCTTCCTCAGTAGAAGACATGTCAGTGGGATTGAGGAGGTCTTCGAAGTATTCTGCCCACCGACCCACGACATCCCGAGTTGAGGTCAGAAGCACACCACCTCTACTATAAATAGTGTTGGTGGCGTACCGCTTTCCCCCCTGAGATGCCTGATGGTGGACCAGAATAACCTCAAAGTCGTACGGAAGTCATTCTTCATGGCCTTTTCGAACTTCTCCCACGCCCGAGTTTTTGCCTCAGCGACCACTCGAGCCGCATGCCGCTTGGACTGCCAGTACCCATCAGTTGCTTCTGAGGTTCCACAGGCCAAAAAGGCTCAATAGGACTCCTCCTTCAACCTGACAGCATCCCTCACCGCCGGTGTCCACCACCGGGTTCGAGGGTTACAGCTGCGACAGGCACCGAGAACCTTGCAGCCATAGCTCCGATAAGCCGCCTTGACAATAGAGGCGCGGAACATGGCCCACTCGGACTCAATGTCCCCTGCCTCCCCTGGAACGTGTTCGAAGCTCTCCCGGAGGTGGGAGTTAAAGCTCTGTCTCACGGGAGACTCTGCCAGACGTTCCCAGCAGACCCTCACAATACGTTTGGGTCTGACCGGCATCCTCCCCCACCTCCGGAACCAACTCACCACCAGGTAGTGATCAGTGGACGAGATATTCATTTAGGTCTTTATCGCCCAGCCCTATTGAGACTGATGAAACAATGGTCTCTTTTGATGTCACATCACTCTTTACATGCATTCCTGTTGATGATGCAGTAGAGGTGGTCAGTTTAAGATTAAAATCTGACAACACTCTGAGCAGCAGGACCACACTTTCCACAGAGCAACTGTGTCAACTCTTGAAACTGTGCCTGCAGTCAACCTACTTTACATATGGGGAGCAATATTATAGGCAGAAACATGGGTGTGTTATGGGGTTTCCAGTTTCTCCTATTGTTGCCAACCTGTACATGGAGGAGGTAGAAAAGAGAGCCTTGACGTCCTTTTCAGGGACACCACCAAGTCACTGGTTCAGGTATGTTGATGACACCTGGGTTAAAATTAAATCTCAGGAAGTCCAACAATTTACTGATCACATCAACTCTGTGGATATAATAAAAAAGTTCACACAAGAAGATGTAAAAAAAAAAAAAAAAAATGGCAGGCTGGCTTTCTTGTGCTATGACGTCTCAGTTTCTGATAGAGGACAGCATGTTTGGTTGTCAGCAGCAAACTGGTTGATCCACTATGAGAAGGTGCTACTTATAAGACTGAGCTGAATACAGCTCCTCAGACTGAAGAAGTCTTTTGGATGAAAGACGAAACATTTCTACATTTTTTGTTTTGTTTTTGTTTTTTGAATGTCCAGAGTACCAGACTTAACTTTTTAGATTTTTCTACCTGGATTATTGAGCATGCTTCAGGATAATTTCATTAAAATTAACCTTCTTTTTTTGTTTTTATATAATACTGCAAAGCAACAAGTTCATTTTGTCAAATGAATAACTATGGTTTTGTTTTTTGTTATTGTTGTATCACGGAATTTATAATTATCATCAGAATGCTCTAAAATATCTCGGTATTTGAGCCATATTGCCCAACCCTATGCCCCGCCATGGTAAAATATATAGGGGAAACCAAAGAAGTCCATGCTCAATAATCCAGGTATACAATCCACAATTTTCAATCAGGTCATCTGGATAGTTTCTTTTTTTTTTTTTAAACGTTTCACCTTCCATCCGGAAGTCTTCATCAGTCAAGGAAACACAACACAAAACTGAAAAAGATACTGTCCAGATGACCTGACTGAAAATTGTTGGATTGTATACCTGAATTATTGAACATGGACTTTTTTTGGTTTTGAACCAGTTTGACATGACTGTTGACGAGGAAGAGGGCCGGCACCAGAGGAGGGGGTGTGCCAAAGACACCATCTTAGCACCTGGTTTGTTCTACTTTGGAGTAAGCTGTTGGGGGAAGAATCAGTTTTATTGTGCGTTTCCTTGACTGATGAAGCCTTCCGTATCGAAGGTGAAACATTTCAGAAAAAAAAAAGAAACTGTCCAGATGACCCGACTGAAAATTGTTGTATATAGGAAAAATACTGCAGGATAGTGTTCCTGGAGGACCAGGGCTGGGAAACATTGGTACAGTGATGTCACTGGTAATTCCAACCATATATTTAAATACGGGGAATCCCCACGCTTCACAATAGCTATGTTTACATGTGCAAAATTCTTTGACCGGATTGAACTGTTATCAGGTTACAAAGATCGCAAAAACAAAGGGAGAGAGAAACTGAACGATTAAACGTCATTTAAAAAAGGCAGATCCTTAAGATGGCGAAATGTAGATTGGCTGACTGACAAGGTTCATGCATGAGGTAGCATGGTATTCTGCATTTGTGACTGTCTGGTTTACGTCTCATTCTCCTGTGAGAAGCTTACCTCTGCGTTGGTGACAGCAGTTGTCAGTGGTGGTGGTGTTTGGAAAAGAAACTGAGAGCTACATCTGTATTTTGCGCTAGCTTAGCGCTACATTAGTGGTGTCAGTTGTCGATGGGGTGGGGGTGGAAAGCGAGCTAGCAAAGTGCTACGCTTGTATTGCACGTAGTTTGGATTCTGAGCTGAGTTGCTACAGTCTGCTCCCCGCCTGGAATTGGCGGAACTGAGTGAGGTGTGGGAAATTTAGTAGGCGGGGCACTCGGTTCTGTTGACAGAGCGCGACCCCCTCTTTGAATAATGGCATGGGAAACACTTCTACATACAAAACGCATAAAACAGCACAACTAGCTTTAACCTTTAATTTAACCGCTGAGCATACAATGTAGTTATGACTAAAAATAGAGGGTTTACTTGCGGTTACCTTCGTACAAACGAACGTGGTAGTTCCAGTTTACCACTGCATGTTCAGCTGCTCTTGAGGTCGTTTGCTGTCCTTTATCTTTTTCATTTTTCCAGACTCCGTTTAGGTTTTGGAAATGAAAATTCCAAGGTAATAGTATAATCT